GAAAGGTATCCTCCATCCTCAGGCAATGTTGAGAATATTTAAATCTCAAAAGACAGGCAATTCTTCCTTCCTTTTTGGGGACTTGTCATTTTTACTAGCAGGAAGCACCAAGCTGACTGTTTCTGCCCTACGTTAGACACACACCTTGGGCAATGATAGCGCCACCAGAACACGGAGGACCTTCCCCGTGCTTTCTTGTTTGAGGCGCTGGTCATGGGATGTGGACTTGGTCACCTTTTATCATTTGCTTAGATTCTCCCGAGGATGTTACTGGAAATCAGTGGAATCTGAAGGTGGAGGTCACCAGTCAGTCTTAACTGTCAGCTGTGTGCCCGCTGAGAGTACCTGGAGAGGTTCTGCGCTTCAAGACAGGCCTTCTCGCTACTACACACATTCCACCCGGTGTTGTTCTAAGTGACTCTGATCCTCTGGTGTCTGAAAAACCACCCCAGGGCAACCAACTTTCCTGCTGTGAAGAGCAGCTCTCACATGGCTGCCAGCGCACTGGCCAGTTGTTAAGTAAACTTTTAGAGAGACGAACAATGAAGGAAGCTAATGCCAAAATGTTAACAGGTCCAACCGAGTGTAAAAACTAAAACCAGATCCATGCATTGACTGTCTCTATTCATGCAGCGTTTTCAGATTTAGAAGGAATTTAACCTATTTCCCATCAACCACACACTTATTTCTAGCTCAATGTTTCCTATTATACTGTAGAAAAGGGGAACGAAATACAATATAAATGTATGTAATAACCCACAGCATATGGTCAACATCGTGATCAACTTCCAAAAGTAAGTTATACTGTTTTTTCCTCCTGCAAGTACCCCTTCTAGGGAGTCCCAAGAAGTGCTTAGCGCAGAGAAGAGGGGGTAAGTTGGCGGAGGAAGATTGGGGAACACTACCTCAAAGGATTCACAACGCACATTCGTCCATCAGAGAACAGGGCTGACATAGATACCTCAGTAACCTTGTTTATCCTGGCATTTCCAAATGCATTTAAACAAGAAGCCTATTTTCTTCCACCTAACATCACTTCATATCCCCAGAAAAATAGATGTTACTGGTATGGGAAACAAACACAGGGAATGCGACTTAAGTAACCGTCTTTACATCCCCAGCATGGCCACTACTAGGAAAGGGTGTTGGATATGGAGTGGAGGCGGGTGCTGAGGCACCTTATCCCATTGATGGCCAAGACCGATTCTTGATGAGATAAGAGTCCCCCCCCCTCCTCTCAACAACTCCTTCCCAGAAAGACTACCTTGCCAGATACCGCAAGCCACTATCAGCTGGCATTGTAGGAAACAATCCTTGCTGGAAGCTCTAAATAAACTCTAAAACCTTCTTCTAAAAAAAGAGCACCTAGCCAGTTTGGCTCAGTGGATAGAGTGTTAGCCTGAAGGGTCCCAGGTTCAATTCTAGTCAAGGGCACATACCCAGGTTGTTGGCTCAATTCTCATTACAGGGTCTGCAGGAGGCAGGCAATCAATGATTCTCTCTCATCATTGATGTTTCAATCTCTCCCTTCCTCGTTGAAATCAATTTAAAAAAAATATTTGTTTAAACTGTTAAAAAAAAAAAAAAAATATGCACAGACATTCTCATTCTAAAGATTTACATCAGAGACCCTGCTACGTTCAAGAAAAGGTGAAAGATAAATTCTAAATGGTCTTAAAACGTCGATAGAAAGATACCAAAACCACACTTGATTAGAAATAATATTTATTATCCCCTCCCCCCCCCATGTACAGATTACTTTCCAGAAACATGGACAGTGTTACCCATGTCCTCATCAGTAACAGTTTGTAGAAAATAAACTTAATTCATATCTTGTCAACAATGTATTTCTATCATTTTTTTTTTAAATAATAGCCATTTTATTTTTCCATGTTAATCCAAGAACAGCTTCAAGTTTTGTTTCAGATCCAATCAAGATAATCTTCGCTTATAGGTCATTTCTTTACAGAACTCCTCCCCCCAACCCCTAAAAAAAATCTATATCCTAAGTGATAAACTCTTCTTATACATTCAGCAAACTTTATATTGGAAAGGAAAAAGATAGTTGAGATAGGTACTTACTCTCGTGCACAGTAATTAATCTAGCTGAGCTTCTACACCTTGCCTTGCAATGATGTTTACATAAAATAACTCATATCTTATCAAGTTACAATGGAAATTTCTTGAAATGTCGATATGAAAACTATACACTTAATCCTTCTAATTTTTTAATCTGCAATTAAACCATTGCCATAAGAAAAAGCTGCATTCCAAGCAGATGTTACCCATTTCCCTCAGCTATTTCTCTCTAAAAGCTTGAATCCTCTTTTCAGATCATGTAAAGAGACACTTTAAAAGCACAGAGGGGTCTACGGCCATACCACCCTGAACGCGCCTGATCTCGTCTGATCTCGGAAGCTAAGCAGGGTCGGGCCTGGTTAGTACTTGGATGAGAAAAGTACAAGGGGGGAAAGTTTAAGCTTGCTGACATAATGCCCTTAAGTGTGCTGACATAATGCCCATATTTTAACTTTAAAATGTAAAAATCACAAGTTAAAGCATCACTTAATTCATACAGTACAATATTAATTAATCAACAGTGTCCCACCGACTCAGAAGTTTCCTAAAACTGGTTTGTCTTCTCTGCATTTAGTTAAGTTTATAACCAATGACCCAATCAAAAAATGTGCTTGTAATAGACTGCTGGTTTAATTTTAGAATCAGAAGTTTCAATGTTGGGCTATTTTAAAATATAGAAATGCTATGAGTGGCACATGAATTATTAATTTTGTTTCCCATTACCTACAGGAAGAATTCATTCAAATAAAATTTTACAAGACAAAATGCAAATCTATATACCTATACATCGACATACACATGTATATATATTGAACCTAACTAAGGTTTTATAAGCAATACTAACATAGTCTGGTTACACATTCCTAAAGACTTAGTAATTGTCTTAAAGATACATGTTATAAAGACACTTACGCAAAAGGCAAAAAATTAAGAATCAATATGATCTTTGAGGTTTTCAGTATATTTCAAAAAGCTGTTTCTATTCCCCATAGAATAAAACTATGCATTTATCTCAGGGGGGGGGGGAAATTATAAAAAGATAATGCTATCATGTAAAGAATTCACAAAACTATACTGTTTATCCCATAAGAGTCATACCTACTTAAGGTAAATCACAATTATGGTTTATATTGTATTATAGACATCACCATCACCTTTCCTCTTTAATAATGAGAGGGTTTAACTTTATTTAACTTACTTAACTAGTGCCACAGGAATTCCAAGTACCCACAGCTACAAGTTAAACAAGATTACAAAATAAGGCATTCTGCTCACGTCAGTATAGTAAAGTGGGCTCTTTTCATTTTTGCAAGTTTATATAATCCAAAAATTATATGGAAGGCAATCTTTATCCCCCCCCCCCCCGCAAAAAAACACAATTAATTGCTATTTTCTAGGGAAACAGAAAAACATACATAAAATCCTTAACTTTGGCTATTTTTCCTACTTCCATAAAGTGATTGATCTTACCTATTTAATAAAAACCCAATAAAGGTGAATGAAATGTTTTAACTATACCACTTCTAAACCTGTAAATCACATACTAAATGATTTTCCTAATTATAGAATAAATCTAATTTGGTAAAATCCCTGTAGTGTTATTTTTTTTTGAGGGGGGGGGACTAGACTGAGAACACACTTGCGCGCACCCGCTCGTGTGCATACATACATACCAACATATTAAACTTTCTTAAACATTGACTGGTTCTTCAGAACTAATCAAAATATTATTTACCATCACGCTTCAGCATGTGCATAAGGGGCAGCAATGTTACCTTTTTTAGCTCAAGGTAAGAATCTGAATAAACTATTAAACATCTATTCTCTTGAACCAAAACTTTTACCAAAGGTGAATCTAAAGTACATATTTTCTGAAATTTGGACTTGACTGCCTATTGCATTTTTACATTAAGTGCTGCTTCAACAAAAATAGAGCATAAATTCAATATTCTACTGTCTAAACATTTAAAGCAATGGTTATGTCATCAATAGGTAAAATGCACCTAATTTGGGTCTTTTGACACCTCTTAAGTTTATTGTATGATAAAGTTCTTCACAGTTTAAAATATTGTGAAGAAATATATGTATAACTACATTCACATAGAGATTATGTACACATACTATGTATTTGATGTACTCATAGACTTTGAATATGTGTGTGCCAGGATAATACCCCACACATATGCAGAAACCCTGAATAGATTGGTGTGGACTATGAAATCATTTCTAAGAAATGCTTACAAATCAGCAAAGAATATGATAATGAACAATTATACTAACAAAAATTTTACCTTATTTACATAGTGCCTATCTCCCAAGAGGTAAATATGCTCTATAGACATTTTTTTTTTAGTATCTTGTGAGGTGGGGCATTGAAACCCTGTCAATTCTCCTTTTCCACAACCAGCTAACCTGCCCAGGATCATACACTTTTACTCTAACAGTGGCAGAGAAAAATAAGACAGGGAAATCTCACCTACAACATCTCCAATCACCAGATCCAAATTGTGGTAAAATCAAGTTTCCATCATACAATAGAACTTCCACCACAAAGGATTAATTTTTAAGTCCTCATATACTTGGGACTGTGTGTTATATTTATACCACAGGGAGATCGAAATGGTTTTTGGTTTTGGCAGATGAAAAAGTCTAACATTCAGTGTAACTATAATTCAGTGTAACTTCTCCAGTTAAGTGCGACACAGCTGATTGGTCTATCAGGGAAATGCGGTCAACGTCTAAGCATGGCTGCAAAAATCTCAATCCAAACAGCTACTGCATGACAAAGAGACGGCCTGCAATCTTGTGTTTCTCAGAGGCCTTCCTATCTCCACATATGGTACAGTATACACATATAAATAAGCATCTTAGCACAAATGTACAGTTAGTATGACTCAGTTCGTGTTCAATAAACAAAGGCCTTAGGGGTGAACTTTAAAGGCCAAGAGCTCCTCAGAGTGCATGTTGTTTAAAGATCGAAGATCTGGCAACTTTAGAAGAAGTTTTGTAAAAATAGAGGCCTCGTTTGGGTGGTTTTTCGTTATTAAGGTCCTTAGTGCACGGATGAGAGTTTCCTGCAAAGCCTCCACAGAGTTGACGTTTTCTATTCCAGATCGATCTAATGCAGAGTAAGGAATAGAGAAATAGGAAGGAGAGGATGTATTATTGACATTCAATATACATATAATTCCTCTTCATCGACCGCATTCATGAATTCAAAACAAGATTTTATACATTGGAACACAGACAAAAGATAAATGACAAAGTTTTTTAATCCCAGTGGTAAATTGTTACAGCTATTTATTATATTATAAAGATATGTATTACCTGTACACTTGCTAAATCAAAATTCTTTTGTGCTTACGTATTTGTGTTCACAAAATAGTTAAGAGGTTCTGATTTTTTTTTAAATGAGATGCCACCTGCTCATTTGAACTAATCCTAATTGGCAAAACAAAATGAGTAGTGTAGTTCAGAAATATAATTGTACCTCACATGGAATATACCCGCATTTGTATGCTACCATGTGTGCAAGAGGCAGCTGAGCGATGATTCTCTCTCATCAATGTTTCTAACTCTCTATCCTTCTCCCTTCCTTTCTGTAAAAAATCAATGAAAATATATTTTAAAAAATAAAATTTAAAAAATCCATAGTTTCATGACTTTGAGGCCAAAGAACCTAACTATAAATCTAGCTAGATCATAAAACAATAATCCTCTAGATCATAAAACTGTAACAGAATACACAGCCTGAAGTGGAAATTCATCTTCTAAATGATGCACTAAATTCTACACTACGCAGTTTAACTCGGACACATCCAACATATACTTCCTTAGCTGCCGCTGCTTCCCCTCCCCAGCCTCACCAAATCTCCTCTTTGTGCACATTCTCTTCCTACAGAATGAAAGTTAAATTCCTTCAACAAACCTCTTCATAAGACAACTAAAATCTATATGAGCCTTGGTCTCATACCTACATGCCAGTTCCTAATCTTCAACTGAAAGCGAATGGTGCCATTTCACACAATCTGGTTCAAGCCCCAGCCCCGTCAGGGAATGTGTGGGAGGCAACTGATCTATGTGCCTCGCTCAATCATTATTTCTCTCTCTCTCTGTCTCCCCTCCCCTTTTCTCGGTTCTACTCCCTCTAAAAAATAATAATAATTAGCTGAGACCGGTTTGGCTCAATGGATAGAGCATTGGCTTGGAGACTGAAAGGTCCCAGGTTCGATTCCAGTCAAGGGCATGTACTTTGGTTGCGGGCATATGCCCAGTAGGGGGTGTGCAAGAGGCAGCTGATCGATGACTCTCTCTCATCGATGTTTCTAACTCTCTATTTCTCTCCCTTCCTCTCTGTACAAAAACAATAAAATATATTTTAAATATATATTAATAATAATAATAATAATGGAAAAATATCCTCGGGTGAAAATTTTTTTTTATATTTTATTGATTTTTCACAGAGAGGAAGGGTGAGAGATAGAGAGCTAGAAACGTCAATGAGAGAGAAACATTGATCAGCTGCCTCTTGCACACCCCCTACTGGGGATGTGCCCAGAACCCAGGTATATGCCCTTGACCGGAATCGAACCTGGGACCTTTCAGTCTGCAGACTGACGCTCTACCACTGAGCCAAACCGGTTTCAGCGAGAATTTTTTTTTTAATGTGAGCATGTTGAAATTATAAATAAAACCAATACAGTAACTGAAAAAATAAAATTTGTAGAAAGTGAGAGGATACTTTTACTTATCAGTAATAGCTAGTAAATCAAAAGAGGTATAAGCATAGTATTTAGAGTTAGGTTAGCAAACATGAGAACAATCAAAATGAAAGATAGTTAGAAATACAGTTCTCTGAAGAACAGGCTCGGAGTAGCAAAAGGAAGAATTTTCATCTAATACTCTTCTGGAGTTCCTGAATTTTATTTTCCTGCCTAGATAATGCTTTAACAACAACATCAGTCCTTTATAAGTGGTAAAGATTTAAATTTGACATGAATACTATCATATATTTAAGTGAAAACATATTATTTTAAAATGCACAGACTTGTGCATATACGTATATTTCTTGTATATCTTCTCATATGAACATAACAAAAATAAGAATGCTTATATTCTTTTCTAAAGTTTTCCACTTAATAGGGCCAACATTTTTTACATAGCATATATCAATAAGCAGGCAAATGGATAAATGGAAAGAGAGCAGAATGGATAGTGAGAGACTCCTAATGTTATCTTTTTGGTAGTGATATTATCACTCTTATTTCATCTTACTATTTTCAATTTTTCAAAGAATTCACATTGAATTCTTTGGTCAAGAAACAGAACAAGGCTTTTTCAAAAGGAGATTAAACAAAATAAAAACCATGGTCCTAGAGGAAAACACAAATAATGGTAGTAGCAGCGTTCTTAGCACAGAGCTCTGCCTCACCCGCTGCCTTCATTTTTTCCTTCAGTTTCTCTGATATCGTCGTCATCATCATTGTCCTCCACCGCCTCCGCTGCAACCTGTCTCTGAAGTGCTCATTCCACTGCCTCAGCCCTAAAGCTATTTCACAGGCTCTCCACCTGCCTCTCCAGCGCTAATGACCCGCCTGTCCAATACACCCGGGTAACAATGCAGAAATAATGTTAAAGCAGCACTTGGTTCATGCGTGGTCGTTCCTCTACCTAAGAAATCACACTGACTTTCTGCTATCCGGGTCAGTTACAACTTCTCTACTTCGTTCTTACAGCTGTTAATCCGTAACCCTGTTACCTGCTATCTTCTCCCCCGTTGGTCATTATAATCTAGGGGTGGCACAGTTCTGAACCAGCTTGCTTACCTGCAGATACCAGGACAACTGCCGTAAACAAACTCATCTCTTCATCGCTAAGCTGGAGGCTGTTCAGCTTCTCGCTAAACTCAAACATAGAATTCAGCAGGTCCCCGGCTCCCATGGAGTGCAAGTCATCCACGCTATACTTCTTCCCGCTTAAAAAGGTGACAGTGCGCTCCTTGGCATCAAATAGTGACGCAAACCGTACCATTAAAACCTGGGAAAAGAAAAAGACTTAGGTGTACTTGAAGAAGTTCAATACTAGTACTGAGAAATACTTTAATATTCAAGTCAGTTAAAAACATTCTATATAAAAGAAAGCTGTAAAGGAAAAACTGAGTTTATTTTACCCAGGATCATTTCCTTAAGACAAATTCTTTACCAAAGCAAAAAATATTCCAAGATTTTTTTTTTTCTAGCAACCAGTAGCAAAATACTTGAGTCCTGTGATACTTTATCAATAAAGATTCTGAAATGCAAATGTAAAATTAAAGCAAGCAATAACGCCAAGAAATTTGAAAATTGGCCTTGGCCAAAGGCATTAAAGAAACTCTTTAAAAGCTATCAAGTATATCTCACAGTCTCGAAGCCCTAAATAAAAAAGCAGCATTTCAATACAGTAACACTTGGAAATATCAAAACATCAAATGCAGCCAAGGCATATGCAATAGATGAACTCTAATTAAACCATTTCAAGAAATCATAGCCCAGAGATAATCCACAAAGACAGCTATTACAGTACAAGTGGTCTACACACCAAGTTAGAATCAAAATCCGAACCAAACCAGTCAACAATTGCTTAACCATTCCCTCCACTATACTAAATGGTGACATCTGTCACATGTTTTTCCCTCATCATCAGCGGAACACTGACCACCTTCTCTTTGCAATGCTCCCAATCAAAGACTTGTTTTACCCAAGACAATCAAAAGAGGGCAAGCCTTCTATGAAGATGGGGCTACCTAAAACTCAGCCATCCCAAGACAAATCATACAGCGGAAAGAGCCCAAGACATGGAATTAGGGGTTTGTGTTCCAGCCCTGACTGTGTTACGAATTCACCGGTAATCCAACAAAAGTCTCTTTCACCTCTCTGGCCAGTAGTTACTTAACTTCAAAAATGAGGGAACTGATTTACCCATAATACTTTAATCAATTTAAATTAAAAAAAAAAAGGGTGAATTGATCACTGACATACCTGCAGCTTTAAATCTTAAGTGTAATGTTTTTCTCTAAACTTAAAATCCTAACCTGTAGGTGTTATTTTTTAATTACACCCATAGATATTTCTTTCATGAACATGGCTTCTTCTCTGTTCTAGTCCAGGTGCCCAAAAAAAATAGAGCCTAAGGTAAAAGTTTATGTGGGGTGTGCACTGGCACATGTGAAAACAAGAGTAAGGAAAAAGAAAATGGAAAAGGGAAGCAGAGAGAGCAAATATTAGCAATATTTACTGAGCCAGCTGCCACTTATTAAGAAAAACTAAGAGCTCAATCATATGGGACTTTTATGGAGAGATGGCTCCCTACTCCCGCGAATCAAAGATTTCACCCACAGACATCAACTCCCCACCTCTCACCTCACCCCCTGCATTTTAAAATAATTTGTAAGTGAGCTCCAATCAAGTCCTGAGACTTCTCATACCTCAGCAGCAATAGGGAAGCCATGGAGCAGACAGGTGAGAGTCACCTAAGCACCTAAGCACAGAGGCACTGTCTTTGTCCTACTAAACTTGTCCCACTAAACTAACCGTGGCTGCCTCGAGCCCAGGCAGAAGGCATCGCACAAGAGAAGCTGGAATAGAAAAAGCAGCCATGGGTTCCGTAGTGAGATGAGGCCAAGAAAATCCGAGCTGGCTCGGAAGAGATGTGTCTGATACATCCAACAAATACAGGGTGGGGTGAAAGTAGGTTTACCGTTGTTCGCATGGAAAATGCAGTAACAAGTAATAATGCAAGAATAAATTCTTGTATCTTGCATACTCACACTGTAAACCTACTGCTGCCCCACCCTGTCCTCTACAATCTCCTAAAAGACAAAGACCACACTCTTATTATTCTATACATAGTCAACACCAGGCTAGGCTTTCAGTAGGTGTCCATTACGCTGCAAAACCTACACATCTAAAAGCAATACTAGAACCTGGAGTTTGTAGGCTGGGAATGCAGATCATACATATTTCAAGTCTTATGTAACTGCGTTTACCTAGCTAGCCTCTCTCCCAAGATCCTGAAAAGGTCATTCTTTTGTTGGTAGTTTCAGCCTCTGGACTACAAATACTCATTTAGAGAAGAAGTAAAATGCATGGAAATAAAATACATGCCCTGTACCCATACTCAAGATGAACAGAATCTACCTCAAAAGTCCCAGCCTTTAAAAGGTTGACCTGGTCATGCTGAGAGAGATCTCTGAATCCAGGAATACGCTTTGCAAATTCCACCACTTCTTTCACTGCCGGGGTGAAGCTCATTGAAAATTCTTCCCAGATTTCATGCCCTGATTTATGAGGATCCACAAACGGAGACTTACTCATTGGACAAACCTAATGTGCACAAAACAGAAAAACTCTTTAATTGTGAGAGGTGGTAAAGAAATTTCAGAAGTAGCATCTCAATCACTGGAAACACCAACATGAAAATAACCCTCAGGTGCAACTGATAACAACACTTTCTCTTTCGGATACTCTACCTTTTGACAAAAAGCCTCATAGAAACCTAATTTAAATAGCAATTAACTTGTTACCATGCAAGAGGCAGCCTAAGCGAAAAATGAGCTCCATAACAAGCTATTTTAAAAACCCATTGCACAGGTTGAAGGGTTTATTTTGTAGACTGCTGCCACCTTATGCTGGCTTTATAGTTTAAAAATAAACACACATATTTGTTTGATTCTCAATCCTATCAGTTATGACAGATATTACAATTTCTTAGATGAGAAAATGAGACCCTAAGATGGTTAGTGACTTAACAAATAACTAGAAGTCATAGGCCTTGAACCCAAGCCCACAGTTAATATTTCAAAACTCCCTTTTTTCTAAATGGTCACAATTACAATGTTGTAATTTCAAAGCGGAAAATATAGTGAGATGCCTCGTTTTTTAAAAAAGATCACTAATCAAAAAAAAATTAAAAGATCACTGATCATCTGTTTTATAAACAATGATGTAAGCACTGACCTCCACTTAGTCAATGGGAAACAATGACTGGAGATACCAGGTGCAACTTCGAAATGAGGATTGGGGAGGAAAAAAATAGGAAGCTAAAAGCACAAAAACACTGAAAAGATTAGGAAGCATGTGCTGTAATCTCTATTAGTAAAATCATCCTTCTAATTTTCACTAAATCCATGAGATCCAGGAATTAAATTATTCTGTAACCATGATTTTTTTCCCCTCCATAAGACAGCCACTAATTCTAATAAAATATAAGGTCACATTTCAGATCAATGGGGACCAAAAATCCTAACCTAAGGATTGAGGTAAATCAACTATTTTGAAAATACAAAGAGAAGGCTTTAATTACCTGGCTGTGGGAAATACCAAGCACTATCAAAGGACCTCGTGATTTAAACTGGAAATGATGCGGTAATGATGCTTTTGATGAAATTTTGGCTGAATATAAATACTGTACATTCATGTAGATTGTTGTATTTGATGAAAAAAACTTGAATGATATGAATAACATTAACTCATCTGATAGGATGAAGTCTGAGAAAATCCTGAGAGGCTGCCTATTAAAATATCCCTAAATTCTCACACAATAAAACTTCCGTGTCCTATATCCAAAGACCTATTTGCATTATAATGGTTAAAGAAAACTCTTTCTATAGAAATCAAGAAATTTCTGTCCTTAAAGAGAAAATCCCAAAGCTAGTATGATAGCGATTAATCAGAATACTTAAATTTTGAAAGGGATTTCTAAGAATTAGAGGACCAATTCTACATGATCCATGTTTTACATAAAATCTTAATCCCAATCACAGTATCAATCAAATCACATGCTTATACCTGTGTGTAAAATTAGGTCATTCAACAAATGTCTATTAAAAGCATCTGACCTAAAATATTGCCCAAAATTGATTCTGTAATCTCAGGTTTTCTGACCCCCCTCTCCCACCCTTGAAATTGGTATACCACCCCCTCTCCCCCGATAGCTTTCCTTAATACGAGATGAGCAAAAAAATAATTGATTTCACTATACCAGATGCATTCTCCCTCCATTGTTGCACAGGTAACTATTCTTGTTCTCATTCTGAGAAAATCCATCTATCGAAACTCTATCACATACTCTTTGAGTATAAGCATTGGAGAAGTTCATACAATGTCCATTTGCAATACAAATGGCATGCCCGTTTGGATAGTGCATTATGTTCCTCCCCTTATACTGTCCATTGAGATTCTGCTGGCTCTCACTACAAGGAAAATGGCTGCTAAGCCCATTGCCACAATGGTCATGATTTAGATTATACTGCTCCAAGTTCTTGGGAATCCGTTCTCTCTGGGGCTGCATGGTCTCTGCTGGGTTTTCTCGCTGCTCTTGATTATACAAAAAGGTATCCTTGTGGGCTCTGGTCACCATGCCAATCACTTCTTCCTTTGCAAAATCAGAAGAGGGAGGAGAAGAGCTTTTGATGCTTTCTTGTTCCAGCTGGGGCTTGGGTCGCAGCTGTTCCTGGGCTGGTAAGGCTGTCTGTTCATGGTCTACTAATGTGTCATTTTGCAAATGACCACTGAACTGGCTGTTCATCATGCTCTTCATCGCACTCTGCATTTCAATTAGCATCCTCTGCTTTTCACGCTTAGGAATACGACCAAACCGAACAGCTATTGAAGAAAAAGATATTTAACATCTATATTCTAAATAAGACCTGTTTATAAAGAAAAATAACACAAAATTATCTTTGTTAGCTATGACCTCTAGCCATGCAAGAAAAGAGTACCACCATGTCTCCAACACAAATTATTCTAAACTTACTGGCTGTACCAAAGGAAGTGGGAGGGAGAGAATTTTCCATTGTTCTCCCAAAACAAAACTAAGGAGAAGATCTATCTCTTGGGTAATTTATAAGCACTATCTAAAAACGAAACTTTAAATTAACTAATGAAAATCAGAGCCTGAAGCAGACCAGCACAACCACACAGCACCTAACTTTGAAATGGGACTTATTTTCAAAGCGTTAACAGAAAAATATGTTCCATAGTTCTAGTAATCCCCTCACTGGAGCGAAGGATTATGTTAGTAAAGCTTGGTCTTCCCTAGATCATTATCTGCTGACACCTTGGGATTCACTACCTACATCCATTAACACTAATGGAACCTAGTAGGCACAAACACTCCCTGAACATCTGACTTTTCTCAAGTCATTTCTGTAATATTATTCTCAAGATCCAACCAGACCCAATTTTTTTTTAAGTATATTTTACTGAGTTGTTTTGTTGTGGTTTTTTTTTTTACAGAGAGGAAGGAAGAGGGATAGAGAGCTACAAACATCAACGAGATAGAAACATCTATCAGTTGCCTCCTGCATACCCTCTACTGGGGATGTGCCGGCAACCAAGCCCTTGACCGGAATCGAACCCGGGACCCCAGTCTGCAGGCTGATGCTCCATCCACTGAGCCAAACCAGTTTTGGCAGACCCAATGTTAAGTGACCCGTTCTTTACTGGCTTCTTTAAAAAGAAAATCTTAAAAAAATAAACAACAACAACAAAAAACACACGGTCAATAGAAATGCAGTTATTGAAAAATCAACCTGCTGGATTTTGATTAAAATCAATGAAACAAATAAAAACGAAATCATTCATCCTCCATTATTTGAGAGACTAGTCTTAGAATGTGCCTGTCTCCAACATTCCTATCCTAGAGGGAATGGGGGGAAAAAAATCTCTAATCTTTTATACAAAGATAATAAAAACTTAATATACCACCCAGTAAGAAAGCCTTACTAGTAATCTAAGTGTATCTCTGACATTATCAAACAAACAATTCTACAGTGCTTCACATTCTGCACCTCTACTCCCTCTCCCCTTCACAAATGATAGGCATTTTTATTCTTTGGTGCAATCACAGTATCTATCAACTTTGGATTACTACTTCTAGTGCTATAAAAATTTTTCGGGCAATTAAAAACCCCAAACATCAAATTGCTGGAAGCCTGTTATTCAAGAAGCTCCTTATTGCAATACTGTACTTCTGTGTCAGTAAGATAACCTAAGGGACTGTTTAAATGCCCTCCCCCTAGTAGGGGGATGGTGGGAATAAAGGGAAGAGACCAACCAAAGGACTTGTGTGCATACATATGAACCTAACCAGTGGTCAAGGACTGGTAGGAGTATATGTGGGGAGGGGTGTGGAGTGGGAACAGAGGGATGAGGATAAATATGTGATACCTAAATCAATAAAGAAATTTAAAAAAATAAAATAAAATAAAAATAAATGACCCTCCTCTAGATAAATGAATGAGGTTCACTCTTAGCGATTCTTAATTAACCCAACTACACTAATCCCTAATGTTTCTTTTAGTTTTGCATCTCCTTTCAATGTATTCAGAATCTGTATTCTAAAAACACATTATCAACTCAGGGCTGAGAAAATGATAGAGATAATGCACATAATGAGAAATGGGTTCATCAGCAATGCTGATATTATAAAGAAAGAGCTATGGATTCCTATATCAAGAATTCCAATTTAGCTCAGTAGATAGTGTCGGCCTGGGTTCGATTCTGGTCAAGTGCAAATGCCTGGGTTGAGGGCTCGTTCCCCAATAGGGGGCATGCAGGAGGCAGCCAATCAATGATTCTCTCTCATTATTGATGTTGCTCCCCTCTCTCTCTCTCTCTCTCCCTCCCCTTCCTCTCTGAAATCAATAATAATGTTTTAGAGACAGAGATAGAGAAAGTAAAGCAACAGGCAGACTGTCAAATTACAGTGGGGAGGGGAGGAAGATCTGGGGGAGATAATAGATCAAACGAAGGACTTGTATACATGCATATAAGTACAAACAATGGTCATAAAACTCTGGGGAGGGAGGGGATGGGTGGGAGGGAGGGAGGGGAGTAAAAAAAAAATCAATAAAATATGTAAAAAAAAAATCAATAAAATATGAAAAAAAGAAAAAATAATAATAATAATAATAATAATGTTTTAAAAAAGAAAAACTAAAATTTTTTTTTTTGGGGGGGGAGAAGTATTGAAATTGTATGGGGGGGGTGGATCTTTTTATAAGAACCAACAAAACAAAAAAAAGAAGTGAGCCCTTGCCGATTTGGCTTAGTGAGTAGAGCATTGGCCTGCATACTGAAGGAGTCCCAGGTTCGATTCCAGTCAAGGGCACATGCCTGGGTTGCAGGCTCAATCCCCAGTAGGGGGCGTGCAGGAGGCAGCTGATCAATGATCTCTCTCATTATTGATGTTGCTCCCCTCTCTCTCTCTCTCTCTCCCTCCCCTTCCTCTCTGAAATCAATAATAATGTTTTAGAGACAGAGATAGAGAAAGTAAAGCAACAGGCAGACTGTCAAATTACAGTGGGGAGGGGAGGAAGATCTGGGGGAGATAATAGATCAAACGAAGGACTTGTATACATGCATATAAGTACAACCAATGGACATAAAACTCTGGGGAGGGAGGGGATGGGTGGGAGGGAGGGAGGGAGGGAGGGGAGTAAAAAAAATCAATAAAATGTGTAAAAAAAATCAATAAAATATGAAAAAAAAGAAAAAATAATAATAATAATAATAATGTTTTAAAAAAGAAAAACTAAATTTTTTTTTGGGGGGGGGAGAAGTATTGAAATTGTATGGGGGGGGTGGATCTTTTTATAAGAACCAACAAAACAAAAAAAAAGAAGTGAGCCCTTGCCGATTTGGCTTAGTGAGTAGAGCATTGGCCTGCATACTGAAGGAGTCCCAGGTTCGATTCCAGTCAAGGGCACATGCCTGGGTTGCAGGCTCAATCCCCAGTAGGGGGCGTGCAGGAGGCAGCTGATCAATGATCTCTCTCATCATTGATGTTTCTCTCCCTCCCTTTCCCTTCCTCTCTGAAATCAATAAAAAAAATAATTTTTTTTTTAAAAAAAAAAGAAGTGAACCAAAGCTATTCCTGGGATGTTGATGCTAAGATTTGACTTTAATGAATTTGGCATCCTACAAGGCATTAAAATGTGTTTTCTAAATCTGCTTCACCCTAAGCAAGAGAGGGCCACTGGTAACTGGTTTATAGCTCTGGTTTATGCTGAGGAATAAAAGCCAGCCCATATGCTCTAAGAATGAATGCTCTTTAAACCGGGAACATACCATCTCTCGACATTCCAACAGACAGACACTTTTTGAAGCGACACTGCTGACATCTGTTCCTATTCATTCTCATTATAGAACAGTTTTCATTCTTCAGGCACTTCTTGTACTGGATGTTTTGCTGAATGCTTCTCCGAAAGAAACCCTAAGAACAAAGGAAGATGTACCCACTCATTTAAAAACATCCAGATGAAATCCTTACAAGTAGCCATCCCCAATTCCTAACTATGGAATTATCCATTACTAGCTACACCTGAGAAAAAATTTTGGCTTAGACCCCAGGGAAATATCATCTCAACACCTGGAATTTGCCTGCATTCTCATCAGTATCAATAAGCACCTATATTTACTAGCTAAACAAAGCCCTCTTCCCTTTCTTCCTTTTTTCAGAATCTTGCTGCTTTCTAAGCATCCCTTGTACTATACTTTCCCCTGTTACCAGCCCTGCCTGCAGTCACATTTCCTAGCTCATACTTTAATCACATACAAATTCCAAAACTCTAGAAATAGGACCTATTTTCAAAGCGTTAACAGAAAAGTATGTTCCATAGCTCTAGTACTCACTGGAACAAAGGATGATTTAGTAAAGCTTGGTCTTCCCTAGATCATTGCTTGCTGACACTAGCAAGGCCTACTTATATGTGCCCGATGTACTTGGTTGCTTGCCAGCAACAGGTAAGTGCCACACCAGAGACCAACTAATGATCCAGGAAAAGACAGTTCCCAGCAAGACTACAGATTACTGCCTTCACTAAACAAAGAATGAAAGTGCAGGTGCTGTGACAGGTATGCAAAGATCCCCAGCTTAATAGTTCCAAGGAGAACGGAAAAGTCAAGAAACAAATTACTGAAAGTAACTTGAACTACAGTTTCCTTGAATATCATAACTAATCACACATTTCATTAATCTTATTAGTACTTGTGGGACACAACATTTTTAGACTTTATTACTGTGGTTCTATACTTGGACACTACAATATCTGAGTTAGACACACCTTTAAGAGAGTATGGAGCAGTTATGTGTAAGTATCAAGAATACACAAATTAAGACTTATTGGCTTGTGCTTTTGTTTGTCTAGCCCCTTAATTACTTCACATTTTCGAGGGGTAAAAAAACAAACCAGTGTTTAAATAACTTTTAAAACAGTGAACAATTGCTGCATCTGTATAAAATACTGACCAGTTTGTTAAGTGTCCTGACCATTAAGAATTAGAAAACCACAATTCATTGAGAGCCACCCTAGAAAATATTTCTTCTTTCATCATGTATATTCATTATCTTGCTCAACCAACGTATCCTGCCAAACTGGATTCCTGCTTCTGGCCTTCAGTCAGAGAAGAGCAGGAGCGTTGAGTAACCTGCGTTGGCCAAGTTAACTCTGACACTCAGGAGAAAGGGTTGTGCCAGATTTAAAAAGACAAAGAGAGATCCCCTGGATGTAAGTAGGTGGTACAGACTCTCTCCCTTGGAATTATCTGATGGACACTCTAAGAAATATTCAACTAAACTTATAAGTATAATGAACTTTCCCAAGAACTCGATTTATATCCAAGCTTCTTTTACTCACTTGGATTAAAAGTAAGTAAAGACATCACACTTTTATAAGTATTTAGGGATTATTCTCAACTCCTACTACCTGACATGTCAGAATGACAATGTATCTGATAAGACCTATTCCAAGTCTGGTTTAAACCAAGTTCCAATAGAGCAAGTCTGTTTTGCTCCCTGCTGTTTCCCCATCACCTCGGGCAGCACTTAGCGCATTAATGAATAAGCACTAGTGCACATATTTAAATACTGTATTTAAATTTGACGGAGACAGCAAATATAATTTGATCAAAATCTTTTTTAAAAAGTACTTTCACTGAATTGAAAGCCTATTTCTCAACACAAGTTATATTTAAAACTACATAAAACGCTTAAGAGGTAAAGAGAAGCAACTGAGCCGAAGCCAGTTTGGCTCAGTGGTAGAGCGTCGGTCTGCAGACTGAAAGGTCCCAGGTTCGATTCCGGTCAAGGGCATGTATTATACCTTGGTTGCGGGCATATCCCCGGTAGGGGGTGTGCAAGAGGCAGCTGGTCGATGTTTCTCTCTCATCGACGTTTCTAGCTCTCTATTTCTCCCTTTCTCTCTGTTAAAAATCAATAAAATATATTTTTAAAAAAGAGAGAGAGAGAAGCAACTGAGTTCTCCTTCTCCCTCCTCCCAGATTATCAGCTGTGAAAACTGCAAATCCAACTCCAACTTGTTTAATTCCAGAATCAGTAGCTTAAAGAGACCAAAGCGTGTTTTTACCTTGCAGCCTTCACAAGCATGAACTCCATAGTGGAATCCCGACGCCACATCCCCACAGACTTTGCACAGGAGAACCATGCCACTAAATTCTAAGGCACAAACAGAAACAATAAAGACAGGGAAGATTTTCAACTGTCTGTTTTCTTTCCAACTGAATATTTTATTTTGTCCAATTTGTGCTTTAACTAGATACAAATATACTTTTATCATGTAGAAGAAAATTCCTTACACCAAATTAACAAATCAAAAGACATCACAGTTTTCTTTGAAACTCATTTTATAGAACCAAAAATATTTCAGAAAGCTGGTTTTGCCCTTTCCTGATGATGTTAAACATACTCTGAAATTTTATAAGTCTAAAATTACTTTACACCAGATATGCAACCAGAACTAAGAAAACCGTTCTCCTGGATAAGAATGGAGAAATCAATCAATAAAAAAATGCAAGCAATGTCTTCACAGGCTGCTGTCCACACACCAGATGCTATTCCTTCCTGTTCTTTCTCTTTTACCAGCCTATCTTACCCCCACACTCACTCAGGGGTCCAAATTCCACTACTCATTCGATTATCCCAAATCCTGCTGTATTTCCAACTCCCAATGTTCCTAGCTCCAACTTCATTACAGGAAACCGCTTCCCATAACGAGTAAGTACTCTGTTCTAGACACCATATGCAGTACTAGGAGTCCAGAGGAAAGGTAACTGTGAAAATGTGGCAAAAGGGGAAACTAACTGTAGAGGACATGTGGTCAGGCACAGTACATAAGCTCATCTCTCCCTCTGAGGCAAGGATCAGTTATGACAACTCTTGAGGCTGTAACTTTAAAAACCACCACTGATTTCTTACCTAACTACTGACCTGTTATTGCTCAGAAAAGGAGTGAAAATCATATTCCCAGATATAATGGTCCCCCAAATGAAGAGTTGATAAAGTAAGCCTGACCTGCAATTAATGGCATCAACCTTTAGAAAACTAAACTTACTTGTCACTCCGCTATGACTCTTTGTCATGCCAGGTGCGCTTGACTTGCTTGTTTTCATAGAACAATCTAGTCGATCATTTTTCAGAATGCCTTCAATAGTGGACAGATCGCCACTTTTAGGATTACCATTGTTATCACAATTAGAACTGTTTGGAGAAGATGGAACAGAAGAGAAGGAGGACTGGAAACTGTTATCAGATCCCTCACTGTGACAAGAGGCAGGGCTGGAGGCTGAGCTGGAAGAACTGATGTAGGCAATCACACCTCCTAGGAAAAAAAAGAGAAATCAGATAATTAAGATACAGGACATGTATTTTCTATTTTTATAAACCTGAACAGTAAAGTCACTAACTTTAGAAATTGGTTACTAATTAAATGTCAGCTTATCCCAAAAGGAAAAATAACCGGCTCTCATATTTCCTACTGCAATTCCTGCTTCCACACAGTCCAAAGCCCATATAATTCCCACTGACTTAACAAGTGAGAAGGCTCTCAGGAGGGCTTATTCTGAGCACATGCAGATCCAGATTTTCCATTTTCCAACTTTTCCTAAAATGAAGGAAAAACCTTCCTGAGTGACTCCAAAACAAACAATTGCTTTGGCCATGAAGAAAGCTGGTTCTGGTCCTCTGTCTCCATCATTACAACTTATATGGCACAATTCTAGAAACAGAGTCATCATTTGCCTCCCCCATCACTTGGCTAAAACACAGGTTAATCCAAAACAGGTATAACATCTGAGATTCTAGGTAAGGTAACTTATCTCAAAACGGAGAACCTCCCAGAATCTGTTTTTTTTGTTTTTGTTTTTTAATATATTTTATTCATTTTTTACAGAGAGGAAGAGAGAGAGATAGTTAGAAACATCAATGAGAGAAACATTGATCAGCTGCCTCCTGCACACCTCCTACTGGGGATGTGCCCACAACCAAGGAACATGCCCTTGACCGGAACCGAACCTGGGACCCTTCAGTCCACAGGCTGACGCTCTATCCATTGAGCCAAACCGGTTTCGGCCAGAATCTCGGTTTTGATGCTCCCGGAAGGTTTCTTTGACTATCACTAAACCCCAGTTCCACTCTCCTTTCTCCACCTACTTCTGACTTACAGACACAAATCTCTAAGCAGCTCTTAAGGAATCTAGACTCACTACTTATTCTGCCTACGGTAAATATTAAAGAAGCTAGAAGGAAGAATGCAGACTATCAGGGAATTTAACATTAAGGCTAAAGTTAATGCCCTCTTCACGGAACTACTCTTCTCAACTTCATCAATGTAACTTCCACAATCCCTCTGAACTGGCCTCGACGTCTTAAGAGACCATAAACCTCCCAGATTAAGAAATAACACTTAGCTGAAACCGGTTTGGCTCAGTGGTAGAGCGTCGGTCTGCAGACTGAAAGGTCCCGGATTCGATTCCGGTCGAGGGCATGTACATTGGTTGCAGGCACATCCCTGGTAGGGGGTGTGCAAGAGGCAGCTGGTCGATGTTTCTCTCTCATGGATGTTTCTAGCTCTCTATCTCTCTCCCTTCCTCCTCTCTGTAAAATATCAATAAAATATATTTTTTAAAAAGAAATAACACTTAAAAGTTATTCTTAAAATATAATTACAAGCTTCTTCACTCAAAGAGATAAAATGTTGCGAGAGTAATAACCTCATAGCCAAATATAATATTTTTCCAAATCTCAGGCCAAACAAGTAATTCTCATCTTCTCTGCCAAGGTGTATTGTGGTTTATTTTCCTCTTCCCTCCATGATTAATGAACATTTATTGGCTTTTCAATGTGCATCAGATGCAAAGTTATCTCTCTTCCATCTGTCCTGTTTCCATCTATTTCTCAACTAGACCATAAGCACCTAACAGTGCAGAGCGTCTCTTAACGCTCTGTACATGCTTTAGGCAATAAGCCTACCATAAATATTTTTAAGACCTACTTCTCAGCCTCTGTGAACCCCATGTCTAATAACATGGACAGATGCCCAAACCGTACAAAACATTCCTAGGAAGCTGCCAGTAAAACAGGCCACTTCTGACAACAATCTATATCACTTTAGTGAGTAGTAACTGGAGAATTTTGCACATCCTAAAAGTAATCACTGCAAATTAAGCATTCACTCTGAAATAAAACTTTCTCTGCTAAACAGAAATAAATGACTCCCGACTCTTTTTTTTTCCCCTTTAGAAAAAAGACACACTTTATACTAGTTAAGTCATTTAAAACACAAACACACGCTTCCTTTCCGAGGGAAGACCAAATGGAGGATGGTGCCGGTGTTGCGGGAGGGCCCGGAGAGGAGGTGGGGGGATTTGGCAGCGACATCCAGGCCGGGATCAGGGCTGGGGTCTGAGCAGGAGCTAAGGCTGCAGAGCTCACAGAGGCAAGATCGAGGACAAGGGGTGAATCCCTGTCACCACGCTGGGCTGCCAGGTCAAGGACATGAAGATCAAATCCCTAGAGGAAATCTATCCATTCTCCTTGCCCATCAAGGAATCTGAGATCATTCACTGTTTCTTGGGCATCCCTCCAAATGAGGTCTTGAAGATTATGCCTGTGCAGAAAGCAGACACATGCTGGCCAGAGGACTCGGTGCTTCTTTCACGTGTCTGCACTCAGGATATAAAGAAAAATATTATCTTTAGTCCTGAATAAACTCCCAAAGGAAGGTCTCATCGCTATTTGTCTTTCTAAGCTACTGCCTTAGGTAGTAAAATTCAATTCCAGAAGATCTCAAGAGGATAAAAGATGAGAAAGTGATCGTTTTCCTTAGAAGACTTTCCTGGGGCCAGCATCTGACTCAGCCATTTATACTCAGGAGGTGCCTCCTTCAGGCTACCTCAGCTTAAAAAAAAAAAAAAGAAAAGAAAAGAAAACTTTTTGAAATCTGAGCTCTTCAGATGGCTTAAGAACTAATTTAAAGCAGAGTGGGCAATGGAAGGTACTGTTATAATCCAAAACACACCTTCCTTTGCAAAAGCTCCAAAATTAAACCTAAGAAAAATTACTGAGTTATTATCAGTCCGGTTAAGAACCTAATCCTAAAAAAAATAATAATAATAAAATAAAATAAAAAGAACCTATTCCTATCTTTAGGAATTCAACAATCATTCACAACAACAAAAATCTGTGCCAGGCACCATGGAATAAAAGATGCTCTATCTAGAAGCAGCTACGTTCTCCTAGCAAGACCTTCTACACTGATTCACTTACAGCATCCACTCTTGCTACCAGACACCAACACCAACACAATGATTAGCAACCCAGATGTACTCTAAAAGGTCAGAGTACATCTGGCAGTTCCTCAACTCAATGAAAAAAGGAAAGTGAAAACTGTAAGTCACCAACTATCCAATCAATGTCAAGAATGAAAGGACACAATATCATGTCACATCTCCTCCTCACAGGAACCCTGTGAATTCATTTCCAGTATCCCATTTTACAGATGAGAAACTCAGAGCTCAGAGAGGTGAAGTGGTACAGCTACTATTATAAATGGCAGGGCCCGGGTTGAAAGTTAGGGCTGCCTAATCCAGAGGACAGACTATTATCTCTTATTAAGAAGTCCTGGGCAAAGTCAATGAAAGAAAAACACCACATGACCTCACTCATTTGTGGATAATAAAGAACATTATAAACTGATGAACTAAAAGATAGATATAGAGACAGTATATCAACAAGCAGACTGTCAAATGACAGCGGGGAGGGGAAGAAGATCTGGGCGAGATAACAGATCAACCGAAGGACTTTTATACATGCATATAAGTACAACCAATGGACATAAAACTCTGGGGAGGGAGGGGATCTGTGGGAGGGAGAAAGGGGGGCAAAAAAAAAATCAATAAAATATGTAAAAATAAATAAATAAATAAATAAATAAAAATAAATAAATAAATAAAAAATAAAAATAAAAAAAGAAGTCCTGGGCAAGCAAGTCACTTTCAATCTCTCTAAACTTGAGTCATCTTCTAGAAATGGGAATATCTGCCAGTTATTTATGAGATTGTAATGAAATGGTATTCATAAACAAGAATTAGTAACGTGCTCTCTACACACAGTTTTTGGTGATAAAGCAAGAAAGGCAAAATACCCGAACCAGCATGTCCTAATTCCTCCAGAAACAGGCAGAAAATGCCTCTTAGAGGCCTCAAGCTAAAATTAGCTGAGGCACAGTCTTCTCTATTTTTACTTGAAAAGGATGGTGGAGCTGGGCCAGGTTCCCAGGCTGGGGCTTACCCAGTGGTCAACTTCAGACAAGCCAGAAGCCAATATCCAATTTTGACCTCCTGGGATGCACTCACTGTCCCTGCAGATATTGGGATTTTCTTGCCCCAGTTCTAGGCTTGCCCATCACCAAAACCCTCCCACTGCCACTGCCACCCATCCTCGGAATGCATGCCTGAGTTCAAGTCACGACTGTACTTGTTTGCCTTGTAATTTAGATGAAAGCATTTGTACCATCAAGAAGCTTTAGTTTTCTCATTTTAAAAGGTTATTAATCGCCCGGCTGGCGTGGCTCATTGGTTGAGCATCGATCTATGAACCAGGTGGTCATAGTTCAATTCCAGGTCAGGGTACATGCCCGGGGTTGTGGGCTCCATCCCCAGTAGGGAGCATGCAGGAGGCAGGTGACCAATGATTTTCATCACTGATGTTTCTATTTCTCTATTCCTCTCCCTTCCTCCTGGAAATCAATAAAAATACATTTTTTAAAAAGGTTATTAGTAGCCGAAACCGGTTTGGCTCAGTGGTAGAGCGTCGGCGTGCGGACTGAAAGGTCCCGGGTTCAATTCCAGTCAAGGGCATGTACCTTGGTTGCGGGCGCATCCCCAGTGGGGGGGGGTGCAAGAGGCAGCTGGTCGATGTTTCTCTCTCATCAACGTTTCGTTTCTAGCTCTCTATCTCTCTCCCTTCCTCTCTGTAAAAAATCAATAAAATATATTAAAAAAAAAAAAAGGTTATTAGTAACTTCTAATCACAGGATGGTAGAGAAGATCTAATGGCAACACTAAACGTCCAACTGTGTCCTGAGTGTCAGGGCTCTAGAAAACAGCCTTAAAAAGCCTGAGGGGCCAGCTGGGGAAACAGCTATGTTAACCATCCATCCCAGTGCAATGTGACTGAGCATTTTCCGTACACATCACTGTGAACTGCTGAGGATCACACAAGAGCGCTACAGAGGGCACAGCTCAAGAGAGGCTAACCGTCAAGGTAACACTAAATGGGCACTTAAAGAATATATGAATTATTGGATGATGTACCATGTAAGAGATTACTTAAGGTAACAAATAAATGAGGGTGAAAAAGAAGAGAATAGGTCTTATTTTGTAAAATAGTGGGTTTTGATCCCATGTATATTGATGGAATGGGAGGGCAAGTGTAATCGAGTGTGTGGAAATAAAAACAAATTGACTAGCAACAAGATTTAAAAAGTGGAATGGTGAAATTGGGAGGCCCTGCTGACACCAGCCCTTTTCCCCCTATGACCCTGCACCACTGCAAACCAAGTGAATCCATGGCAGCTAGCTTGTACTCCCCTGCCTGAGGGTTCTGAGGACTCTGAGGGTTCAAAACCTGGCTCTCACACTGCCTGCCTGTTACTTAACTTCAATTAGCACCTCATCTTCCACTGGCAGAACTTTCAAAGACAGTACTTCACAGAATTAACGTGAAGTATCCAAGTAGTAGCACATGTAAAGGGCCTCGCACAAAGGAAATGCTGGTGATTATTATTTTACCATCATGATACTGGAGCCCAATCAGAATAGTTCAGATGCTGATTGGGCTCCAGTACTGGTGATTATTATTTTACCATCATGATACTGGAGCCCAATCAGAATAGTTCAAACAAACTAACTCTCCCTCTCCTTTCTTGGTTCCTTAATTCTGAAGGTGTCATATGACCCAGTGGTTCCTCTGTGTGTTCTTATTTCCACATTACCTCCTAAATGCCTCAACTCCATTGACTTAGGCAGCTTCCTACTTCACATCTGATTCTTCCCATTACTGTGCGCTCTCTCTCTCTCTCTCCAAGTGAACATTTCTTTACCCTTATCTGCCTCTGATGTCCTTTCCATGTTTGGAGAAATGCAGAATACAGATTTGTAAAGATATGAATGAACTATGTGGGGACATTTTCCTAACTTTTAAAATATTAATTACAGTCAAGGTTAGTAAGTTTATGCAATGAGTTATTTAAAGAACCTAGTATACACAATCAAAATCTATCTGTGACAAAAAGGTATGAGTCACAGAGGATGGGGTAGGAACCTGGTGGAGAAGGGGAAAAATGAGGAACTTTTGTAATAATATGAACAATAAAAATTAAAAAACAAAGGTATGAGTCAATTTCTACCACTTCTATATCACATCTGTAACAGTCATGGAGAGGGTAGTGACACAGTATGTCAGAGGACAGATGAAATGGTCACTGGCTGAACCGTGTATTGACTAACACAATATCAACCCAACGGGAAGGGTCAGAGGTGTGCCAGTGAGCAGTGAATTTTGTTCCACCCTGGTCAACATTTATAATTTGAAGAAAATTCAAGGGAACACTTATCAAAACTCCCTCCAACGGCAGAAACTGTTAATATACTAACAGCTTATGACAGCTTGAACTTGGGAGCCAAAAGAATAAGAGAAATTTTAAGAAAGAACTGCAAATTCCTACACTTAAAAGTCAAACAATTACCCACACGATGGATAAAATCTAGCTTCAAAAGTTCACATGAAAAAGTCCTGATTGCAAGGTTACTGTTGAGTCAGCAAAGCAATATGCTACAAAAGCTATGCCTGCCAGAGAATTCATTTGCAGAATTCCCAAACTTGGAACTTGGTAACTGTCCAACGATTTCCGCAGGAGCCTGTTCATTTATAGGTGCTATAGCCCCAAGGGCAGCAAGGATGACGATTGAAAAGAAAAAGAAAAAAAAACCTTTGCAAAAAAAAGAGTAAGAACTATAAATGGACGGGGGTGGGGAGGTAGAAAGGGGACATTCTTCCAAAAGAAGTTTCCTATTGGCATCTCCAAAAAGCCAGATTAAGATATGTGATATTGTTCCAGAAAGGTTCAAACCAGAGAAAATGTTTCTAATCACCCTGAGCCTCCCCCTCTGTGAGGTTGCAAAGCTGTTAGAATTTATTCACGCTAAAGGCTGCGTTAGAGAAGGCTGAACCTGATCACCTCCAAATCCTATCAAGAGTTTAATCCCATCATAAAGTTACCCAATTTTTAAAAATATCCTCAAAGGCTAAGTAGACCCTTAGGTAACCAAAAGTTAGAAAATGACTATATTTCTACTGCTGGAGAATTCACCACACAATTGTTATCAAGGCGTTCTTTTGACAGCATATAAAAAAAAAAAAAAAACAAAAAAAAAACTGGCTTCTTCTGTAACCTCACTGGCGTTTGCATAAAGGCCACCTTTTATGGGCAGACAAAAAGGGGAGAAGTAAAATAGTGTCCCATAGCATTGTAACGGGAAAGGGAACAAGAAAAAGAGGTATAAAGCCAAATTCTGTTGATCAGGTTCAGGCAAGGTCAACAACTTACGAGTCTTAAAAAGAAAAAAAAAAAAAAACTGAAATGAACAATGAATGACCCTTAGGGGCCACCTGAGTCACCCTGGCCACACGCTGGGCTGAATGATTAGCTACGGATGTGACCCGTTTACAGTAAGGGCTCCCAGCCCAAGGAGAATTTCAAGCCGCTTTTTATGGCTTCAGATAGGAAAGGTCGCGTCCTGGAGGAAAACATTTTTTTTTTTTTATTACAGTGAAGCTGCCTTCACGAGGGCGGGTGTTGTCCCGTCTGCCGGGCGAGGCTCGGCTCTCAGCACCTAAGACTCCTCCGAGGGTCTCGCGTCTTGGGAGCCCCCACGCCGGTCCCGGGCATCATCGCCCTTGGGCCGCAGCGCGCCCGCGCCCCGCACTTCCTCCGCGTCCGCAAGGTCTGCGGCCCGCCCGTCCGCATCGGGGTCACCTCCCCGCCGCGCGGGCCGAGCACTGCGGCATCCGCGCCCGCCCCGGAGCCGCGCGCCCGCGGACAGAGTGGGGACGGGGAAGGACGGGGGAGGGGGGAAAAGAGGAGGGAATCTCCGCCCGCGCACGCGCACAAGCACGCGCGGCCTCCGCGCCGTGCAAACCCCGCGGAGGGAGGGAGGAGGGCACCGCGGCCACGTCACAGCCCGGAGTCTTCCAAGGGGCGGGGCCTCCCGGGAGGCAGCGGAGCTCCCCGCCGGCGCGCGCGCCCCCGCCCCCGCCCCCACGTGTCCCTGCGGCCCCAGGGAATGTGGGTCACGGAGCCGAGCGGCCTCACGTGTCCCCGCCCGCCGCCGCCCATTATGTAATGCCGCGTCACGCGCCCGCCCAGCCAACCGGCGCCCGCGCGCCGCCGAACGTAAACACAGCGCGCACGTGGCTCGCGCGGCCCGGCCATGTGAGGGGGGGCCGGCCGGCGCCGCCGGGCCGCGCTGCGGCGATGCGGGGAGCCGGGAGGGGAACCGGGAGGGCCACCGCGGGGCGGCCCGCGGGGCGGCGGGAACCCAGTCCGAGGAGGGTTCGCGTCCCGCGGCAGCCCACCCCGCCGCCCCTGTGGGGGGACACCCCCTTGGCCGCCGCCCCCGTAAGTGCCCAGAGCGGGCTGCGAGCGACCCCTCCGCCGGCCCCCGACCCGCCGCCGCAGCCCGGCTCTTACCCGCATTCACCTCCATGGCGCCCTCGGGGAGGGGGCAGCTCCGCCTCCCGCTCAGCGCCGCGCCGCCCCGGGCTGGAGGCGGCGGTGGTCGCGGGGCCCCCTCATGGGCGGGGCGCCGGGCCCGGCGGCCGGGGAGCGGGCTGCGGAGGGAGAGAGGCGGGAGGCGGCGGGCGGCGGGCGGCGAGCGGCGCTCCTCGCGGGGCCCCTGACAACAAAAGCGCGGCGCCGAGGCTTCCTGCAGCAGCGCTCCGCGGCGGCGAGGGCGGCGGGCGGGGAGGCGGCCGCGACCATGTGACCCGCGCACACCCCCTCCCTCCGCCCGCCCGCCCCCCGCCGGCCGCTGCGGCAGCTCCGCCCCTCCCGCCTCCCGGCCTCCCCGGCTCCCCTTCCCTGGCCTCTGCCTCTCCCTCCTTTCCTTCATCCCTTTCCCTTCTCTTCTCCATTGCTCCCACCACCACCCCCTCACCGCCTCCACATCCCTTCTTTCCCCTCCAGCCAGCCGACCTCCCGCAGGGCCGGGGACCCGGGCCGCCGCCCCCTCCCACGCTCCCTCCCCCGTACTTAGTGACACCTCAAGTCCCCTCGGAAGGCGACCAAGACCCGCCCCGCGGCGCCAAGCAGGCTGGCTTTTCAGGAGCCCGCCTTGTGCCAACTTTGGCCGGGGCTAGCCCAATCCCCGGCCTCCCCGCAGGTCCCCTTCTCCCACCGGACAGGCCTCTGAGCCCTGGGACTCCCTGCGGACACAGCCTGCTCCTCCTCCCTTCGCACGCCCCGGGCGTCTTCATCCGACCCCAGCTCATCCAAGGTGCCAGATGTCTCCTCTGACGGAGCCCCAGATTTTTACATCCGGCAACTCGTTTGCTTATGCCCTACTGATATCCCTTGGGCATCTCCGATTTAAGATGTAGACAGATGGGTTCGGGTGTCAAAAACTCAGTGAATGCATCCTTAAGGTCTGTGCGTTTCACCTTGAATGTAAATTTTTTTACATCAAAAGGAAAAAAAAATGAACCAATTGACCTGTGCTGAGGCAGGCAGAGAGAAGGGCACTGATGGCAGTGCAGCCAATGTTAAAATGCACTACAAACAGAAGGTGGACTGATGCATGGAGGGGTGGAAAAATGGATAGGAGTATACTAAGATCTTAGGTGTAAATGGGTATACACACTGGAAAATTCTTTCCAAATTGCTCTTTCAAAATGTTTAGCATAGCCCTAGCCGGTTTGGCTCACAGTGGATAGAGTGTTGGCCTGCGGACTAAAGGGTACTGGGTTCTTTTCTGCTCAAGGGCACATGCCAGGGCTGCAGTCACCAGTGGGGGGCATGCAGAAGCAGCCAATCAGTGATTCTCTGTCATCATTGATGTTTCTTTCCCTCTCCCTTCCTTTCTGAAATCAATAATTTTTTTTAAATGTTCAGCATAACATGTTGAGGGAAATGTAATATGTAAGATATTTTCACATATCCAGCACTCCTCTCCCCTCTCACCCTCCACTTTTATACCCTGTTCAATCCATTAACAAATCTGAGCTAGTCTACCTTCATAGTGTGTCTTTAACCTCTGTGCTTCTTACTTCTGCGTTGCTATTACTCTAGAACAGGGGTCGGCAACCTTTAAGACATAAAGAGCCCCTTGGACCCATTTTCGAAGGAAAAAAAAAAACCTCGGAGCCGCAAAACCATTGCGACATAAGTGATACAGCTCCCCGCCCCGCCCTGCTATCTGCCCTGCTAGTGTCGGACCTGCTGGGGGCCACAGCAAAGGTTCAAAAGAGCCGCAGGTTGCCGACCCCTGCTCTAGCACAAAGATTTTAAACGGGTGTGCCCCAAGAATTATTTAAGATTTTTTTATTAATTTATTTTTATTTATTTTATTTTTAAAATATTTTTAATTATCTGTGTGCATATTTTAACATTGTATTAATTTACTTTTAGAGGGAGAGGAAGGGGGAGAGAGAAACATCCATGTGAGAGAGGAACAAGGACTGGCGTGTCCTGCAGGACCCTCACCGAGGACTGAACCCACAACCTGGGCATGTGCCCTGACTAGGAATCAAACCTGCAACCTTTGGCTACACAGGGATGATGCCCAACCAATTGAGCAACACCTGGGTGTTATTTTTCTTTAATGCTGAAACCCTCCTATTGCTCCCTAGAGCACTTTGAAAAAAACCCAGTGCCTTACCTTGACCCGCCACAGGAGGATGGCCCCTTCTCTTTACACGGCTCCCATGTCACCCCTAAACACAGTTCTCTAACTACAGTGGTCCTCTTTTCTTCCCTACCTCAGGGCTTTATCACCCTATGAGATGCTGATGCAAGAATTCCCCAGGCTACACTTTGTTTCTTGCTTTTTCATTTTATGTATCAACCACCATCTGCTTCTGCATGAATAAAATGAGGCCAGTATGAAGAGACGAGAAGGCAAAAAATAAATCATAAAAGGATACCACTCTGAAAAGGCTACATACTGTACAAGTCTAACTATATAACATTCTGGACAAAGCAAAAATTGGAGATGATAAAAATATCATTGGTTTCCAGAGGTTGTGGGGGAGGGAAGGATGAAGAGGCAGAGCACACAGGATGTTTAGGACAGTGAAACCTATATACAACAAAGGTGGACCCATGTCCTGACTGAACCCTCATAGAAACTACGGACTTTGGATGATTATGGTGAGTCACTATAGGTTCATTGGTGGTAATAAACATACCACTGTGTCATGGATGTTGATTGTGCAGGAAGTTGTTAATGTGTTTATAGAGACCAAAGGAATATGGGAACTCTGTACTTTCCATTCAATTTTGTTGAGAAGCTAAAATAGCTCCTAAAAAAGGTATTTTTAAAAAGACAGAGGATATTACCATTTAAATTTGAAAAGAGAAGCGAATGGAAGTGGAAATAAGCCATTGCAAAGGAAATAAGACCCTGTCTTCCATGATAATGTGTGTGAAATAAAGCCTGTGTCTATGAGCCTCACGGTTTTTTTAAAGGCCACCTCCTTCCTGTGAGGCTTTGTGGGTAATTATCAGAAGCTATACAGCTACAACCCAGGTCAGTCCCCAGCCACACCACTGGCCCCTGGAAACCTGTCGGGCTCCTCAGTGCCACAGGAGGATGCTGAGTGGCGTATGGCTTGGACAGTCCCTGAGTGCTGTAGCTGCAGCAGGATTGCCTTTTGCTGCTGTCATTCCAAGGAGCCTCATTTATTAACCCTGTGGAGCCTATGGCCCAGTCTGTAACAATTCTCAGATGATTCATAGTAGATTTCTGTTTACTACACTTTCCTCATTCCTCTGATCAAAATAATAACTCTGTGGAGTGAAGTGACTGTGTCTTCAAGTCATCTGGTAGGCCCTGCTGGACTGAAGGGTCCCAGGTTCGATTTTGGTCAAGGGCATGTCCCTCAGTTGCAGGCACATCCCCAGTAGGAAGCAGCTGATGGATGTTTCTCATCTGTGTTTCTAACTCTCTATACCTTTCCCCTCCTCTCTGTAAAAAAAAAAAAAAAAATCAATAAAATATATTTAAAAATTTAATGTTAAAAGTATTACAGTTGTCCCTCTGTTTTTCCCCATTGACCCCCTTCACTCCACAACCCCCCATCCAGGCCTTCACTGCCATTGTCTGTGTCACTGGGAGATATATATATATCTATTCATCAGTCTGGATGCTTTCATTTAAAGGAGAGAGACAGCCTTGGCAGGCTTGACTCAGTGGATAGAGCATCAGCCTGAGGGGTTCCAGGTTTGATTCCGGTCAAGGGCACATGCCTGGGTTGCAGGCTCCATCCCCAGTCGGGGGTGTGCAGGAGGCAGCCTATCTATGACTCTATGACTCTGAGTTTCTATCTCTCTGATGTTTCTATCTCTCTCTCCCTTCCTCTCTGAAATCAATAAAAATATATATTTTTAAAAAATAAAAAATAAAGGAGACATAATCTCTGGGGAATGTTTTATTTTCTCAGGAAGATGGGCAAGCTGTGAATAATCACCACTGTGGTTAGCATTAATTCTTGCAGAGTTGGTCCTTATCAGTCCACCGAATCCCTTTTGCTTTATAAATTGAGCAAAAATAGTTCCTGCTGACCTGAGAGTGCTGGCCGCCTGCCCGGAAGTGCCACCCCTGCAGGCACTGTATAATGAAGCAATCCACAGGGCTGATCTCAGCATAAAGAAAAGTTCAAGCTGGGACTTAAATTTTTAACACATTTGCTGTGTGAAAGCAAAATAGGCAGAGGAGCTGCAATGGAATGACGTCATTCAAATATCTGAACTACCATTTAATCATTCAAAGAACCAGTATCACAAGAGACATGTCATTATGACAGCATGGCCTAGAGCTGCCTAAGATGCATGCCACTTCTTACTTTACACCCATGACAACACATATGGATACAATTACTTTTGGTGTTTGGTTTTGGTTGATAGGAGCAGTTTGTTTGGGGGTGAGGAAAAGTGAGAAGACATTTAGTTTTTCTTTGTGAGAAAAATGTTCCTCTGCACAGAAATGGAAGGAAGAAAGGAGCAAATAGCAAACACACAAAGACTTTGTCATTCTTTGAACTAAATTTAGAAACCTCTCTTAAGTGTTGTTAATATTTATAACATAAACATGTAAATTTTAAAAGGTCAAAAATTGCATTCTCATAGAAATATTAGGCTGCTAATATTAAACCATATTAACTGTTTTTGAAGTATTGTTTAGCAGAAAACAAAATTTTGTGGCATGAAATTAAAAATACTGTACTTTAGAAGTTCTAGTATGTGTGGTTATATATTCATAACTTTGGCATACAACCGGTAGCCCTTTTGCATAATTAGGGGCCTTTCCTAGGAAAAATGAGGAAGTAAAAACAGGGCAAAACACCTTGAACTAAGTGTTAGCAGCTGAGCAATAATTTTGTACATCACCTTTATATACATTTTTAAAATTCATAAGTATACACATTTTATTTTTTTTAATATATTGATTTTTTACAGAGAGGAAGAGAGAGAGTTAGAAACATCAATGAG